ATCTGAGGGAACAGCCCTTAGGGTRCAGTGAATATCTGGAGTGTAGGAGGAGATTTGCCTTTCACAGCTTCAGATGGCACTGTGAGAGGGATCTGTTCCTTCCCTTGGGATCCCAGAATGGTTTGGGTTGGAAGGGACCTTGGAGATCATCCCATTTCCACCCCGTACTCTGGGAAGGGACACCTTCCACTGCCCCASKTTGCTCCAAGCCCCATCCAACCTGACCTGGAGCACTTCCAAGGACTTGTCACATCTGGCACCAGTGGAGGAAAGCAGCTCTATCTAATGGGATTATTCCTGATGGTTTGGTCAGTCCAAAGTCAAAGGATCAAGTCTCACATGTGGACACTTGTGCTTCATGGTTGKTGACTTGGGTGGTGATGACATAGGGTTTCATGTAGGGTTTTAAATCTCACTCTCTAGTGGGTTGATTCAAGCAGGAGATTACCCAATATCAGAAAAGACTCCTTAAATCAGTGTGAGTAGAGAAAATCAATTCTTAGTCAGCATCCACATATCAACGTAGTTTTATTCAACGGCATCCAGCCCTACAGACAATACTTGGTCTCAGTAATAGCAATTAGGAATTTGAGAACTTATTGAGGACTATGTCCTGAATTTCTCAATTCTTTTCCAAAAAATTACTATTTTTCAGACATTTGAGACTTTAAAAGCTGAAACACCAGCAGATGGAGACAAACCCTGTTACCAGACCAGCCCAGTCAAGGAGGACCTGTAGGATTCACAATTTTTTTATGGGAAGCTGAGCTGGAAACTTGAAGGAAGAACATCTTTTGTGAAATGTTGAGTGCTGTTATTGTCTGGACATGTTTAATAGCAGGAACTTAGGGAGAAAAGAATTTCTCTTTAAAAAAAGAATCTCTTGGTACCATACTAAATGTATATTTGGCCTGAAATAAAATGTTCCATTTATTTTTGGTCGGTTACATATACATGGGGATACATGTATCCATAAACCACATTAGAAATGCAGTTATGTCAACAGTTTCAAAAATTCATTTCTGATGAACARTCAGAACATTTTAAGAAAGGTTTATACAAATATTCTTGCCTTTCTGATTTTATTTTTTTCCTTTTTATGGAGGATAAATTTCAGCTGGGCTTGACACAATAAACTTTTAGTCATGACCATTCTCTAAAACTGTTTTCTGGTGTCTGGGATAGCTATTTGAAACATTTGAATCAGACTGAATTATAATGATTGTCCTCAAGTATGATGGCAACCCAGACCTCCATAGGTAAGATAATTTATTGCTATTTGAAAATAAATTAAAATAATGAAAAAACTGCATCATAAAAACTTTAAGGTATGAGTTGCAGAAGGTATTGTCCCTCACCTTGACTAATTTTGCTTTGCAGATGACACACAATAAAGCCAATAGTAAAAGGGGCAGAAAGGTCCTTGAGAGCTGATCTATCCCTCAACCCCAAGGCAAGATTTGCCAGGTCTGAGCCATTCCTGGTGACAGCAGAGTCTGTAGCTCCTTGACTAATTTACTCCAGTTCTCACCTGTCCTTCCTCTTAGGAAACGTGTCTAATGTGTGACCTATATCCTCCTTGCTGCAATTTAAACCCATTATTTCTTGTCTTATACCCAGTGGACATGGAGAACAATTTATTACCTTCCTATCTGCTACAACCTTTTACATAGTTGAAGGCTGTTATCATGTCTCCCCCTCAGTCTTTTCTTCTCTAGACTAAACAAACCCAATTCTTTCAATCTTTCCTCATAGGTCATGTTTTCTAGACCCCTGATCATTTTTGTTATGGAAATAAACATCCTTTAAATCAAGTTCTGTGAATCAATCTTGTGTGGAAAGGAAGGGAARCAGAGAGGTTAGAGTTAGCATTGGGAGCAGGAATCTGGTGGTGAAAGAAGTGAATTTTCTGAGGTCTGCGGATAGTACAGCCTTCCATTCTTCTTTGGGTTTAGGAAGTGTATTGAATACAATTTTCTTTCCCCAGCTTTTTTGAGAAGCTCTTTTACCTATTTGCCATCAGAAGGAAGACAGTATTTCATTTCCACAGGCTGGAGGGAAAGTGRTGTCTGGGAAAGCATTGAGCAGGGTACCAGAGAGTATTTAAAATTATATGATATCTGTCATGCAGACTTTCTAAAATCAACTTGCCTGCAGTGATACCAACACTTGTTCTCCAACAAGCGATGTAGGCCATCCCCAAAAAGTTGTTTAAAAGTGGATCATTGCTCCTGGACATTGAACACAATCAGAGACTCAGCAGAGAAGATGCTGATGAGTTTTAGGCTGTAAATTCTCCTCTATCACATGGGCTGCTCAGAGCACATTGGAAATACAGTGCAACTGTTTCAGCTGCAAAAACCATCCAAGGCATTATCATCAGAGGGACATCCTGGGCCCTTTTGCTTTGGATCTACTGTTTTGAGGTTGAGAGAAGCGGATCTGATGCCTCTTAGAAAAGTTTGATCTATTCTGTAGAGTCACTGTTGGCTGAGTCTTTGGCACTGAAGAATCAGGGAATTACAGGGACCACCAACTTAAAAACTGGGGCTGCAGAAAGGTCCAGGAGAAGTTCCCTGTGCTTATCCTCCTTTCCATCCTTAAAACATCAAGGGCTAGGCTGAGGTTATTTTGGGTRTTTATCTCCACCTGGGATTGGGGAGGACTGTGCTGCTGGTGCTTCTAGACAAGCACAGCCTGGAGCAGCCTTTTGCTTGTGGTGGTTCTGATGGTTGATGCATCGACTCACAAACTTCCCTGTTCCTCAGAAGTAGGTGTGAAGCTGTGGTAAATCTAGTTTCAGATCAAAGACTCTGCAGCCACATGATGCAAAGCATTCAAACAATCACTTTTCTTTAAAAAAAAAAATCTTCTGAAGGCTTTATGCTGGGTTCAGATATCACCTGTCTTCCCACAGGCTGTATAAATAGGAAAGCCAGCAGGAGCACCAGGCTGCGTGCTTTGGCAGTTGAGAGAAGTGTTGTGTGCTCACATCTGATCCAGATTCCTCAYTAATGGACATGGCCTCATTGTTCAGCCTGCAGAACAATGAATCCATAAAGAGAAGACAGCATAAAATGTTATAGAGAGCTGACATTCCAAGAGCATCTGAAGCTGAGTGCAYTGATGCACCTTGAAAAAGAGTTCAGGAAGATACATTAAGGGAGACAGAGTGTAGGAGCCACAGAAAGACAAGTTTCAATCCTTGTGGAGGAGATGCTGACAAGGTGATAGGTTTCCTGYTAGCTAGCATGTGTTTTGTGAAGAAACTTCCCAAATGTTCTYTCTCTGGGAAGAACACTRATTGGACCTGTCAGACACGTTAAAYTTCAGGCCTTGTCTGATCCAGAGAGCTGAGAATTCTAACACTTCAGCAGAGCTCCAGAACAAACATGGTGCAGTGAAGAAAAATGCTTTTTGCTTTGTGCAGTTCACTGGGAATATTCTCCCATTTGCTGCCTGACCCAAAGGTAAAGGATCACTTGTCTTCCAGAAGCAGACTCATCCTCTGAGCAAAGTGAAGGAGGCCAGGGACAAAAATCTTGGCTGGAGTGAGTAATTTTTGTTCTTTAGATGCCAGTAAGCACATCCATTCCAGAAAGGGGTTTTAGTTTGATTACACCGACCATAGTGATGGGATGGTGTTGTAATATTAGCCAAGGAAAGGTTCTGGTTTTAGATACTCTTATTTTTACAAATGTCTAAGAAACTCTTCCCCCAACTAGCTGTAAATGGTAACAGAATCGGTCTTAAAGCCACTAAAGACAGGCTTCCAGCATCAGATACAACACTAAAAGTTGCACTTTTGAGATGGTCTCCATGTAATTCCTCCCATATGGGCCCTAAAACCCCAGATGCTCTAGGAAGTGTTTAGGGCCCTGTAAGAGCCAAGGCCATCATTAATTAGCAAAGACCCCAAGCACGTGTTTAACTTTAAGCATGTGCTTTTCTTTCCCAGGAGTCCATAGAATTAAGGACTTTAAGTGAATGGGTTTAGGGATATGCTTAAAGCTAAGCATGTGTTTAGTTGCYTTCTTGTGCTCTGGCTTTATTTGTTTTTACAGGAATAAGAGAAATGAAAGATCTTATTACAGATCAAACACAAATAAATGTCCAAAACACAGCAGGGAGGCTTTAGGTCTTGGTTTGGAGCCCAGTGAAGTCAATGGAAAAACACCCCAACACCTCAGCGGACTTTGGAGCCGAGTCCTCAGAGGATTCACGAAGAACCCACTGCAGAAACCTGTTGAATGCCTCATGTTTCCTTGCAAGGTTCCCTTATCTTGTATCCAGATGTTGCTAACAAGGATTTTTATTAGCTGCTGAGAAGTACAAGGGCAGCAGTTTTTCAAGYCCTAAAATCATGCACATATAGATGAAGTAGAAACAGTTTGCTCTGCAGTAGCAATTGTGGTCTGTGGAGCTGTGAGCRTATTTCAAAAGTTCCCCAGTTCTTATTATAGAATCCTAGAATGGTTTGGGTTGGAAGGGACATTAAAGATCATCTTGTTCTACCCCCTGCCATGGGCAGGGACACCTTCCACTGTCCCAGGGTGCTCCAAGCCCTGTCCAACCTGGTCTGGAACACTTCCAGGGCTCCAGGGGCAGCCACAGCTTCTCTGGGCACCCTGTGCCAGGGCCTCCCCACCCTCACAGGGAAGAATTTCTTACTAAAATCTAATCTGACCCTGCCTTCTGTCAGTTTAAAGCCATCCCCCCTTGTGCTGTCACTCCATGCTCTGGTAAAAAAAAAAAGCAAAACAAAAACAACATGTCTTGGTCCCACTGATCTCCAAATGTTTGCTCTGTCTTTCACGCAGTGCAGTGAGGCAAGYGTTGTCACACAGTTCCTAGGGAAAATGTTGCCTCTTTGTAGAGGGTGAGGTTTACACAACAGGAAGAGCAGGTTCCTGTGAATAGCATTTCTCTTTGCTGCCTTTAGATCTTAGCACAGCAACACCTGACTTACTCATTTGGATTCTCTTTCAGACGTGCAGGGAAATAGCCASTGCTTGAGAACAATCTGATCTATTTTTGATGTTCATTTCGGGACGATGCTGAAGATGTCTCTATTTGATCAGCTGGATTTCCACCCATGCAGCTGGACATTGATCCTTTGGTCCTGCCTAGAGAAGTAAGGAAACTTCTTCAGAGACTGCCCTAACCAAGGTCAGCAGAACTGCCTGAGCCACCAGCCATCACCCAGCAGGGAAAATGATCATGTGCTGTCTTGCCAGGCTTGTCATGAAGGCAGGTGTCATTAGAAGGTGTTTGTGCCTCCTCCTCCTCCTCTTCAGAAGTCATTTGGGTCACAGCAGCAGAGCTATGGGACAAGCTTTGTCCGAGCTGGGGAGCAGAGTGCCCACCAAGAATCTCCAGAGAACTGGTAAGCAGTTATCACTTGCTAAGCTGCTGTTGCTTCCTCTGCTTTTGGCACCTCTGTTGCCAGGTCAGGCTGACACTGGTGTGCAGGGATGTGCCATGGCCACATCAGAGCACCCAGCCAGAGTCTCAGGAGGGTGGCTTTGCTGTCAGGACGTGCTGATGTCACTGCCCTGCCTGTCACTGCTGGTGCTGCCTGGGTCACAGTGACACTGATCCAYGACCATCAGTTATGGTCACACCTTTGTTTGGCTCTGGCACTCCAGCCCTTGCTTTCCCATCAGTGGAAAACTTCTGGTGGTGTCCACTGGGATTAACTCTGGGATTTGGTGTGCTGGGAAAGGGTCCTGTACCAACTGCTGGCACAAGGGAGTCGTACTGTTTGTAATAGAGTAAAAGAGAATAAAGTGAAATTACTTGCAGTTTGGATGCCCACTGGAAAAGCCTCACAAAATTGTTCATGTTTGGATCTCATTTTAAGAAAACTTGCCAATATTCACCAAATTCTGGTGCAAAAAATGCAAAACCAAAGTGTTTGACCTGTTCTTTCTCCTCCTCCAAGGCTAAGAGATTGCAGTGGAAAGCATTCAAAGCATTTTTTTCCCAGTAGCACTAAAAAAGTGTGGCTTTTAAATATGCATTTCTGTTGAGTGCCAAGAGCTGTCCTTTTCTTCCCAGCCATTTCACAGAACTGAAAGACACAAATCAATAGGTAAATGCTCAGTGCTAGAAGTCTAATTATTATTTCTACTTTTCTCATTATTATGATAGGAAACATTTTTTACTTATTCCGTCGAAGAACTATTTAATCTACCTAGTCCCTGKTTTAAATTTCTGTAGCCCCCTGAACAGAATCTGCAATCCTTARTAGTATTAAAAAACCCMAAACCACCCATTGGCTTGAAAGGAAAATGTGAACTTCTTCAACGAGGGCAAAAATACTTCTGTTGCTTAAACGTAGGTAATTAGAGTGAGGACTTTCTCCAAAGTAAACCCTGACAATCTAACAATAATCTTTGGCTTTTGCACTGCATGGAGTTTCTCTTACATTGTTAAATGCATTCCATGTTTCAGTAAATGACACCAGGCTCACCAGCAGTGAGTGAGTGATTAGTTTATCATCCTCTTAGTGCAGCCATCTAGATCTTTAACTCTTTAAGCAGTGGCATTTAAGTCTTGAGAACACCCAGGWTCATGCCTGAGGCTTTAGACATTTTTACTTCAAGCAAATCTTGCATATTGAGTGAAAATGAAGAGAAGAAAGTAGGTGCTTGCATTCTGATAACACTTTAAACAAGTCGGGTAAGGTAAATTGCAAATAAACACCTTTTTTTTAGGGTTTTTTGTTTTGTTTTGTTTTTGTAATTTTTTTTTTTTTCTTTTATTTAGAGGAAGCCAGTTCCTCTCCCCTGGGACCACTTAGGTCATTAGGTGTCTGAGCAGCATAAAATTACAGGGAGAAAATCTAACAGCATACAAAGAGACTGAAAGGTGACAAATCTACATTTCCTWAGATCCAAGGATGTGGGGCAGGTTTATTTTGGCTGGATTTACAATTTGTCTCTCACAGTGCAGTCGAATGAATAGTTTTACAAAAGATTTTCTTCTAACAAGAAAAAAAAAGTGAGCTGGAACACATTGTGCTGAAACCTTRCTCTAGCAGGGATGTGTAAGTACATAAAGCATGGTGGCAACAAAAACTTTTGGAGAATGAAGGACCTTTACTTATTTTGGAAAAGAAARGTGCAGGAGGATTTTCAGGCAGAAGGGAAAGACTTTGACCTGTGAGCTGCTGCTCAGCATCATGGATCTTCATCTATCATCTGATCCTGCTCCGTAACGCGAGCCAGATCACTGTGAGTGCCCTCTGCCATGGGAGACATGGAGCTGCTCACCCCACTGACACCAAGTGCTTTGGGAGCTCTGTTGCTGGGAAGAGTTTGAAATGTCTGAACAGAGCATTTGTGTGCCTCAAGCAACAGAACAGAGCCCAACCTTTAGTTCGTTTTTGTTTTAAAAATGCCTTTTGTACACTGTTGTGGTTTTGGGTTGCATTTTGGGCTTGAGGATTTTTTTTTTTTTTAAATTTTAAGGCTGGGCTTTGAGTTTAACTGGTTTGGGTGAAAGGAGCTTTTGCCCAGAAGGGCAAGGGTAATCCTGTGTGGACATCCTGGGTGAGGTAAATTCTCTGCATTCTGGAAAGGTTTGAGAGAGGATTGGGAGATACTCTGAGACATTGGAGCTGTGCATCTCCTTCAAGCACGGGCCCAGTGTTTGGGTCTCCAAAGTTCTGGTGACTCTTGCTCAGCCCCCAGGTCCCAGCCATTCTCAAYGCTGTAGATACATTCAGGAATCTGCTTCCAGTCCCTCTCATCCAGCAGAAAACAYGATGGAAGTGATCCAATTGTGCCACCTCAGTCAAGGCACCTCCTGTGGTGGCCTCACCCTGTGGTCCAGGTGGCTTAACAGCTGAGGAGCCTGGGAAAAGGAATGGTGGCTGTTCTGTGGTCCCTAGAGAGGGAAACAAATCACACAAAARCTCTGCAAGTCCCAACTCTCCTCATGGCACCACCCTGAGACAGATTCCATCAATCTCACCTTGCTATTTTGTGCTTTGGGTCTATGGTTTGTCTCCACTATCCCTGGCTCAAGTCAACACTCATGGACTCTAAATCTTCTTTGATCTTCTCATTTAATCCTCTGCTCTTCAAACACCTGCCTTAATCCACCTCATTTTTATCCTGAAGCCCCAACACCACTCAGCTTCTCCTCTGCCTGGGCAGGAGGGATGTGCATCAGGATTTCTGCCCCACTTTGCACCTAAGTGTAGGGAAAGAGCAATGGGAGAAGAAGTGACTTGCTGAGGCTTCTGAAGACAGGACATGGGATTTTTTTGACAGCCATGGAGTTACCTCAGTGTTGGGTCTTGGTGAGGAACACTTGTGAGCCAATGCCAGTTTTACAAATGACGTYGCACATTTGCTTTTTGCAATATTTCTTCGAATTGGGGTGTGGTGCTGCATACAATACCTGGTTCTGAGGCTTGCTGCTCTATCAGGTGTGTGTACAGAGGGTGGGAAAGGCATCAGAGTCAGCAGGACAGAGGTGGAACCAGCAGGAATGCAGGGTGAAACCAGGGGAACAAACAGGTCCTCAGGGAAACTGCTCATAGTTCTGCTTTCCCTGACCCCAGTGCAACACCAGCCTGTTGATAACTCCAGATCCTGCACAAGTACAAACTGCTAGTTCAGAYCCTCCATCCTGCGACTTTTATTCAAAAATCTAATTTTAAGCCCACATCTCTTCATGTTTGGGTGATGCTGTGCTCTTGGCAGGTGCATTGTTCTGGGTTGTCACTGCAGACCAGTGCAGGCCTGTCGTGACACCTTGGTGCCTCTGGCTCCAGTCCTGTTTTCTAGAATTGCACTTGGCCTTGCCTTGGCCCTTTGCCCAGACTGTATTTGCCTTCTTGGTTTTCACTTCTTTCCCATATCCATTTTCTCTCCTATTCTGCCTTCCTGCTGATCTTTTGGGGTCTGGCTCTGTAAAGGCTCTGCCCAGGTGGACCTTTGGGGGGTGAGCACCCCATCACTTCCAAGGCCCCTTCATATGTCAGAGACAGATATTGGATTCTTCCAGACTCACTCCTTTTTTTTTTTTGTCATTTCACTTTTTTTCCTTTTCAAACTGACTTTTCAATATTCCTTTCCTGAAAATGCCTCTTCTCCCCCTCCCTTTTTCTTTTTTTTTTTGAGCCAGTTCCTCAGTTTTATCCCTCTGTAAGCTGTTTGGTGGCTGGTATTTTAGGAAATAGAAAGGCTGGTTTGCCTGTGGGATGGGACACGCACGGAATGCACGTACGACGCTGGTTTGCCCACATCGTTTGGATAAGGTATCAGAGAGGACAGACTGTCTTTGCATTGAAACCTGCAGGTCAAGAAACTGGCCTCCCTTCAGTTCACAGGCCACATGGCTGCCAGCCAGTAATGAAAAGCCCTGATGAGTATTTCTGGAAAATGCTGGAAAGCCACCTCTCACTACAATGTGTTTAATCTCTAGTTTTCAGGCATATTCAGTTTTGCTTTTTCTTCCTCCTATTCTTCTTCTTCATCATCYYCTTCTTCTTCTGRCATGGGTGGCAGGTGAATCTCAGGYGTCTCTCCAGTGATAGACAGGGCAGTACAAATTTTGTTCCATGTGCTGTAAATGAGAGATCAGAGTCTCCATGTTACTCTGCCAATACTTTCCCACTGAAATRGTTTGAAAGCCATTGTTTTTGTTTGTTGGGTTGGAAGCTGAGGACCTGTTCAGAAGTAATGTTTATCTTTTATTCATTTCTGGGAATGGTGCAAAATGCTCTTRTTCTTCCAGATTGGAGGCTATAACCTGCTTTTAATTCTAATTGCCTCCTTTCCCCACATTTTTTAATTACTCTTCAACTGTTTAATACACTCTTAACCACTTGGATAAAGTAGAATCCTGATGATTCAGCCACTGTCACAGAAGCACCAAGCTGAACCTAGACYTTCTGAAGTCCAAATCAACTCCTTCATCACTAGGACAACCGTCCTTTAGGCATCTCAGTCCTTGCAGCCCTGCACCAAACCTATCGCCTTTGAACTTCCCAGGTTGCTCAAGGCCTCCTTTGGGCTGCTGAGTCAGTGTCTGTGCATGATGGAAGCAGGGAAGGGGAAAACAGATCATTTCTTATGCAGAAAAGGACCAGCATTGAAATCAGGTTTCACTGGTGTTGACACAAACTGCAYCATTGCTCAAGTACTTTTGGGTTGTGGCTGTTTGGGACAGAAGGTGGGCTTTGATTCTGCCTACAAGTGGGGTTTTTTTTGCCTCACGATGAAGCTGAGCAGGTAATGGTGAGTAAGAATGTCTCTAATTGAAAATAAACCCAGCTAACACCTCATTCTTTAGCTCTGATCCCTGTGGGTCCCTTCCAGCTCATATTCCATGACAGCCTGAGCAGGAACTTTTCCTCAGAAATCATCT